TTATTTTCTTTCATGATTTGGCTTTTTGTGCGCTGTCTCGAGCCCCCATTGGTTGTCTCGTTGTTGTTTGGGGTACACCTTGGTGTTGGCTCTAATATCATGTTAAACATCAGGATCTAAGAGATTTATGAGTAATTCGTGACACTAAAATTTTGATATCATGTAAAGAACTAATTAAATTCAAAAATTTAAGTTGTTAAGTGAAGACCCGTCAACGATTTATATATTTTTCTAACGGTTATATTTCAACATTTGAGACTAGGAAACAACGATTGAGAGCTCAAGGTTCATATTTCAACTGTTGAAAGCATGAGAAAGTCAGGTAGAATCGTTGTTTCCTAATCTTTGCAGAAGATGCCTCAGAAGGAATATTGATTGTGACTACGACAGTGCATGCTAAGGAAATCGGTTTATGCAGAGAAGCACTCCTAACTGCACATGGATCTGTATGATTTTTGGGTTGAGTATTTCTCGTGCTATCAAAGATAATTTTATTTTTTACGTATAAATAAAGTGTGTAGGATCCAAATTTTATTTTTCTCTTTGTACTTTTCATATGATCAGACATAACGTCACATATTTTTATGTGTATGTAAGAAATAAATTACAACATAAGAAACATTAATTACATTATTTTTTATTTTTTATTTTTTATTTAGTACATAATCACATGGTTTTTAATTTTTTATGTACAAATGGACATTTATCACAAGTAACTGCTTGTAGGTTGCAGTATTGATGATGATCAAATACAGCTATACGCACGTAGGACAATAAAACATGATGATTAGTGGTTGTACATACTTTTTCATTCATTACTCAATTTTGAATTTAATATTAGTATACTACAAACGTTGTACAGATAACTAACAAACAATGCTGGACCTCTTAATGCTTGGCATTATTCAAGTAGACTCTACCTTCTTCATGTATAGCATTAATTAAATTTGATATGTATATGCCCAATTCATCAAGGCAAAAGGCTTGAAATAAAGTAAGGTTTATCACAAAACTCACTGCTTAACTTAACTGAGGCCCACAAAACTCTCTGATTCAGCAGCATATACGACTGACTTTGATTAGAGTCATTAAATCCTGGGGTATACTTGTTCAAATGTATGTATATATATACACTATCAAGTCTTGTATCCATCATACCAGTTGCCCACGTTCACGGCAACTATACCAACAAGGACCAGTGTGTAAGTCTGTCAGAGACAGAGACAGAGATAGGCACTTCCCTTCTCCAAGGGCAAAACTGATTACAATAGAAGTTTGACTACATCTCAACAAGTACTAAATTTTTGGCAATAAAGGAATATAAAGATTAGTAAGCTTAACATTAACGGGAAAGACATACACAACCGCATTTGTTGGGATATTCAATATGGAGTCTCACGTTGATTATAACAGGTTAAGTGATGTTAATATAAGTGGAAGGAATCATTATTGTCTTAAAATTTTGAGTTAAAATATAGTGTCCAATCCGTTTATTATGATAGATTAATGCAGGTTTACTACACTAATCCACAGTTGACATGAGCGTGATTTTTTTAAAAATAATTTAAATTCAATCATTTGGACAGTTTGTGCATAATATTATGGGTTATGTTTATCTCATTTTACATGAGATAAACAACTTTCCTACACACACATAAAAGGTTTGGGTCCCACCATTTTTTTCTCTCTCTCCTCTTATATGTGGGTCTCACTTGTAATTTTATCTCTACAACATGAGATAACTATTTTTCTACAACATAAGAAAAATATTTCCCTAATATTATAGTCTTTAATAGCTCTACTGTTACTGCAGATCAAAAAATTTGCAACAACTTTATTTCCACAGAATCCGGATCCATCTCATGAAATTTTTTTATTTTATTTTAAGATCTGGCTCCGTATCTTATTATAAATATGTTTGCTGCAATTTTTCACATTTACAACAACGGAAACGAGGAATCCAATATTATATGCATCTGGCTGTTGTCCACATATTTTTTTATTTGTAACAAAGTTTAGGTATAGTCACTTGAATTACGATATAGGGGTCTGAAACAACAGCATTATAGCAGAATTAGAAGATCTTGAAAATTAGATTGGGGGGCGGGAAATGCATAAAAGGATCATACACATAACCTCATAGGTGTATATTTTTATCATCTGATTACGACTAGTCTTAACTAAAACTTTATGCTCACTGACGATGTAATTCTACCAACTATATATTAAATGTACACCCTGTGATATGTAGCAAGAATTATTGAATTATCCGTGACAGACTGAATTGTCAGATGATTGATTGCACCTCTTGTAATTCTGTTTACAACCATAAAGGATCCAAGTTCGATGGAAATTGAAATCCCAGTATCCTTATTAAATATTTTTAATAATAAATTTTTGAAAAAATGAATAAATGTTTGATAACTTAAATTATGAGTACTCAATAAAAAAATAGATATGTTATCAAATGAAAGGGGAGATATAAGGGAGAGATATGTAACCATTTTTCAATACAACCAATATGAGGAGTTAATGCTCTATTAATGTGGTTGTTACGAAATCATAAATGAGAGATAATTGCATCATTAATACAACTGTTACAAAGTTTAAAATTTAAAATTCAAGTCATCCTTAAATATTTTAAGATAAACATTGAATTTCTTTATGAGATTTTCTAAAATGTCAGCGTTGGTAAAGAACACTAAAATTTCCTACATGCTATTGGGATCTCAGTATTAGAGCTCATTTTTAAAATGATTACAATGGCACATATTGGTCATGTGGTGCTTGTATCTTTCATTTTTCGGTTGTGAAATATTTGTATGGGCTTTCTTTTTTACTCTAGTAGATGTCAATATATCAAGTCTGAATCTAATGCCCTCATGGACCTGACTCAAAAGAGGAGATTGAATATTATGTGGACCATGGAATGGTGACTAGGGACTTCTGGAAGGCACAAAGAGACTCAAGAAAGAAATGGGCTGCGTTCAATAATTGACGAGAAGGAGACACTTAAGGTGGAGTCTGCCTAATGTTTTGAACAATGGGGTATGTAATGCAGTCAAGCAAATGATTATCTTCAAGCCTCTACATGGAATAAGCCTTCCTAGACACTTTGAACTCAGTTTTTGATTCCTCTTTCCTTTTTCTTTTTTTCTAGAAAACTGATTTTTTTTTTTTATTGGCTTGACCTGTTATTTGACTATTATATTTTAACAAATAAATTCAATTCATTTTGTTCTTTGAATGTAAAAGGTTGACTTGGGCTTGTGCCAAAAACTGTTATTGGGCTTCTTTTATAACTATGGGCTTAGGCTTTATGAGCTCAAACTTTCTTTGAGATGTCAACTTGTGTCCCGAGTTGCATTTGTTTGGTTTATTAGGCTCCTATTGATTGACCAAAATACGAATATCTATTGTCCTGTAATGCACGAGTAGCGCCATTTGCGCCCAATTTCACTGTCCAGAATGTGGCTTAGCGTGTTTTCAAGGACTTCTTGTTGCCGTACCTGGCAAGGATGCATTGACGTAATGTGTAAATGCGGATAGGAAAAAATTGAGGTCAAAATGCCATGAGTTTTGAGGACCTTGAATACGAGGAACAAAAAATCATTATAGGTGATAACGCTAATATGGTGTAACATTTAGAACAATCACTTGTTGTAGGTACTATTCGTGAAGAAAGCCTTGCACTGGCTTATATCTACATGTCTCCTCTGGAGACAACTATCCATGTGACTTCTTCTTCCCTTTACCTGCCCTTGTCCCTATCACCACGGCATTGCACAGTTTGTATAACATGGCTTAGCTTGAGTATTGTTACATGCACAAATACTTTTGTGCAGACACACAAATCTATTATGAGCCATTGACGTGAAAGATATAGTAAAAGAAAAATATTGATAAATAAATAAATAAATGTTTGTAAAGAAGAATAAGCAAAGTATGTGAAATATACTTTTGTACCATTAATATTTAATATTAGAGGTAGCAAAGTGGACAGGTCGGGTTAGCCATTCACCCGCTAAAAAATAAGTTAGCTCACCTCGTTCCGTTTTTTAAAAATATGATGAAAAATTTGGCTCACCGATCCGAACCTACTAATTCGCCCCGCCCAACTATCAACTAGCCAAAAAATAAGTTGTCCATCTTATCCTGCTTTTGAGAATAGATTGTGGGTTCATTTAATCTTATGTTACATGAGAGATCTTCTCTCATGTTATAGAGATACATATGGTGGGGTCCGCCATTTAAAGAAAAAAAAAAAAAAAAATATCACAATTTTCGATGAGTGTGTAGGAGATAAAACTACTCTTATGTTGCATAAGAGTAGTTTTTCCCATAGATTGTTGGGCCAATCCCATTTTGCCGGCACTAACCATTATTGTGAGCTTTTAGTGTGAACGGTTGTTATGTTTACATCCTAGTGTGGGACAATAAAAGAGTACCAAATTCGAAAAAAGCATCTTTCGATTAGTTTATTTTAAAATTAAAAAAATGACGACTTTATACTTTTTAAAATATATATATATATATATATATATATATATATATATATATTTCTCCTATAAAAACTGAACTAAACGTGTTAAAAGATAGTTTGATAACAAGAACAGTTTTTTTGTTTTGTTTTTTAATAAGAAGATTTATTAGATGAGAAGTGGCATCCCCCAAGAAAGTGAGGGATAAGATATCTATTGCATTGCAGGAATAAAAAATGTTTTGTGACTTCATAATTTAACAACTTTTTTTTCGCACAATGTATCATGTTTCATTTGTCAGTAGAATCTCTTTTTGTTTTTTTTTTTGTCCTATTGCCATGGTTTAATTGAACATGACTGGAAGAAATATTTGCTCCTTCTTAATGGAAGCTTTATCAGTTGAAACAGATATCGATTGAGTGGGAGCAGATAACGAAAATGGGCTTAGGTGAATTAGTAAATACAAAAGGGAGGAGAATAAGAAATAATTTATGGAAAAACATAAAGATTAGACCTGAATAATCATCATAACTTCCCTAACAAAAAGCTTAACATAATCATATCATACATCACACTAGTAATAGATCCTGAATCTAATTCTAGGGTCCACTCAACCCGACAAGCAGAGCTCAAAGACCTTCTCTTTGTGCTCATCTCTCCCAATCCAACCACCACACACCCATTCTCTTAATTTGTGATGTGATCTTATAGATCAATCTCACTCATCACAAACAAACACACACATACACATACACAAATCACATGCTTGCTGGACTACAGTATCTTTGTTACATAATAATAATAATAATTTCAGAGAAATCAAGTCCCCTTTCACTTCATGAAGCAAAAGTAGAATGTGAAGAGGGGAAAATGCCAAGGATAAATTCTTCACCCCCCAAATATTTGCCAGAAATCCTAAATCAAGCACGTTTTTCTTCTTCATCTTCTTCTCTCAAATGAGTTAAATCCGAATAACTTGTGTCCTAGAACAAACCGCTGTACATATTCTAGATCAGTGACATACCAGCTTGCTACTCTTATCTTCTAACCTTTAATCCTATGAACTTGCAAGATATATAAATTAAAAACTATGTGGGTAAATCTGACTTAGTAGAAATCAGGGAAGCACAACCCTTTGGTACTTGGTCTCTGAAGGAGAATCAGACCCATCACAAAGGATCCTTTTTCTACTGAGTCTTCCACAGTGAGTAGCGGTGCTGCTGCTACCATTAGTGTTAAAAAAGGAATCTTGGCGGAGGAGCTGTGGTGGTAGTGGTGGTGGTGGCGGCGGCGGCGGCGGTGGTGGTGGTGGTGAAGGTATGGTGACAGGTGGAATCTCAAAGGACTCAAGTGGTGGTGGAGGGTGTCTCCATTGAGGAAGAGGTCCTGCCAGGAGAAGGGTCTGAAGGAGAGGACCAGCTTTCATCACTGCCTGTAAAAACTTACCCTTTTCTGGTAATGGTTTGTCTGGTGTTAGTTCAATCATGGATGGTAATGGTGTTTGACCTGGTGGTTGTGGTTGTGGTGGTGGCAATTGGGGTTGAGGAAAATGGTCAATAACAGGAGAAGAAACAATGCTTTCTTCACAATCTGATGATGAATGGCCATTGTTAGAGTCAATTCCTCTTCTTGGTTCATCTTCAATGCTAGAAAGTCCAGATAGAGGACCTGTTTGTTGTTGTTGTTGCTGCTGCTGATGAAAAACGAGCTTCTCCAAGAGAAGTCTATGGCATTTCTCTTGTGCTTCATCTCTTTCTCTCAAGGTTTTGTTAAGCAGATCCTTTAGATTAAGTAGTTGATCATCCCTTTTTCTTAGTTCCTCTTGAACTGCAGCTCTTGTTTGTTCAAGCTCCAGAGTAGTGCATAGGAGGGACTGTCTCAGCTCCTCCATTGACTGTGTCAATTAAATTAAACAACACAAATGAAGAATTAGTCCTTAAATTGCAAAGATTATGAACCCCATTACACTTTTTTCTTTTGTTTTAAATGGCTAAAACATGAAACTAAGCAGCATCAATGTCTGTAATCAATGGAAATAGTTGAAGGGTAAAAGAAAGTAGCTACCTTTCCTTGGTAGAAGTAAGCCCAACTAAGAAGAGGGACACGCTGATTATTGTCCATGTTGTCAAGCCTCAACTCTCAAGATGACAATTGATGTAAATATAAGCTTTTGATTTGAAAGAGGAAAGGGAAATGGAGGGAAGGAAAGACAATAGAGAAAGAGAAAGAAGAAAAAGAGAGAAATGAGTTAGGGGCGTTTTGGGTGGAGGTTGAAGGTCTTTTATAAGAACTAGTCCAAGTCACTGTTGGCCATTGTGGGTTGTTTTTGTTTAGTATTCTCATTGTGGGGGGTTAGAGAAGAAATGCACATAAAAGCCAAAAGGCAAAAAAAGCCTAACAGAGACCAAATCCTAGTACCCTATGCTCTCTCTGAGTAAGGAGTAAGGAAGGGTCAGTAACAAGTAACAGTAGTGATTTTCAATTTGGTAACATGTCTATGTTGGCACTATTGCACAAAGGGAAAGGGATACTATAATAGTTGCGCGGGGAAGCAAAAATCAGCGGTAAAAGCGGGAACAAGAAACAAGTCAGTGTCTGAGACAAGTCCTCTTCGGGTCTATTTCTTAGCTTTTGTAGCCACTTACATGCTATTGAGCAAGAAATCTGAGAAAGTGTCCGTAAAAAAACAGTGATAACCTTTCAACAGTAAAATTAACTAAAATAACAGGAATGAAGAGCTAGACGTCACATTTTACTTTTACTTTTTTTTTTTTTGATATAATGGTAGGAATTAAATATATAATTTTTCTATATATAAAGTAATACAAACTATCAAAACTCTTTACCACTAGAGCAATCTTAATGACTTAACATTTTACTTATATAAAACAATTCTTTTGAAAAAAAAAAAAAACTGATTACTTTTGGGGAATGTTTGGTTCAGGAGAAATTTTTTGAATACTAGAGAAATGTAATTATTAGGGAAATGGTTGGAAAGTGAGTTTGGTAGGAAAATGTAAAAAAAGTTGTTTGGTTGACCGAAATATTACCAGAAAAATTTGTTTAAATTTGCAAAATCTATGTTCGGGAGAAACTTCGCATCTGTTTTCTCATTTCCCCAGTTATCTCAAAATACCACATCTCAAGTGGTATTCTGTAACAGTGAATTTCATCAAAAAAATCAACACAAAAGTCATTTCCCCATCTATCCTATTTGCCTAGTATTTTTTTCAAAAACCTGAACCAAACGTGATAATTTTCAATATCCACTTACACTTTCCTATCAATCCCAAGAATCTTGTCATGATACTAAAAACAAAAGTGATTATTATTTATTTTTACTTCTAATTTATGTTTTTAAAACATAACTGAATTAAATATTAAAATTTTATAAAGTTATATATTTTTAAAAATTAAATGAAAAGAATATTCATTTCTTTATTATTACAATAAACTATAGATTTTTTTAGTTGTTACTTGAATTTTGGTCGAAATTGTTGCGAGGTAAGGTACCATTCAATTGACAATTTATGTTTCATGTAGCAAAAAACTTTACATTTGATGCACGGGTTCAAATTTTATTGATCACATCCTGAAAATAAGGTCATATCAATAAATGTCCGAGTGTCGTCATTCTTATATTCAAAAGTACGGAACATGTTGTAACTTGTAAGTCATCCGAAAAGATTAAAATGGAATTTTATAATAATGATTATAGTTAAATTAAATATTATTTTTGGTCCTTAGCAAATTTTATGATGCTCGTTTTAGTCCCTGGCAAATAAAAAGGCTATTTGTGGTTCTTAAGAAATTCAAAATGAACTCATTTAGTTGAAATCGTGGTCCCTCACAAATTCAAAAAAGATCCATATTAGTCTCTCAAAAACATTAAAATGGGTTCACTTTGAATTTTTTACGAACCACGAATAGCCTTTTTATTTGCTAAGGACTAAAGCGGGTACCGTAAAATTTGCTGAGGACCGAAAAGCGTATTTACTCTTATAATCAATATATATTTTAATTTCAATATGACATTCATAAACGGAATAATTTTGTTGAATATATTTCTTAAGGGAAAAAAATTAATTTATTGCAATTTAAATAAATAATTATGAATATATAGCTATTTTGAAATTATTTACGAATCTATTGTAGTTACTCACGTCTAAATTGAGCGTGACCATCTACGCCTAACTCAGGCGTGACCCATGAGACATTTACGTCTAGAAAAGATGTGACCACTTATAGGAACATCGTCCAAAGTGTCTCTTTTTGACAAAATTTTTACCCAAATGTCACACGAACATTACTATTTATAAGATTGTCACGCGACATAATTCGCTACGGATGGTAGGGAATTACGTTCGCCAATGATTTTGTGACACGTGGCACATTTTCGCATAAAAAAGCTGACTGGACAAAGTTCGCTAGTGGTAGGAAATTTGATGCGGAATGTGGTCACGTGTCATGAAATCACTGGCGAACGTAATTCGCTACAAGCCGTAACGAATAACGTTGCGTGACAGTCTGGTAAAAAGTACTGTTCGCGTGGCATTTGGATAAAAAATTTGTCAAATAGTGGCACTTTGGTCACTATTCCCCACTTATGCCTCTTTTAGGCGTGAGTGTGTGACCAACCTCACTTCTTGTGCTGACACGTGGCATAAAAAGTTAATAGTTTGACCGTAAAATTTTAGAAAATCATAACTTTTGACTCGAGTAACTACAATAAATTCATAAATAATTTTGAAACAACTATATATTCATAATTATTTATTTAAATTGCAATAAATTAAGCGTTTGAAAACTTCATCGTCCTTGTGCTACTCTACTTTCTCCAATATTTCAATTCATAAAAGGGGGAGAGATGAGTGTTTTTAAGGGAATCATTTCTGCTTCAAAAATAGAAAGAAAGAAAAAATTCCTGTCACTTACTCATTTCTTTCTCTTTTCTCTTTCATTTTTTTCTTCTCTCTCTTATTTTTGTATCAGTAATTGAGGAAATAATTTTTGTCACTCATTCCCCCTATTTTTAAACGAAGAGGATTAAACAGTTTTGTTGTGCACAACGCACCTTGACAGTAAATTTATTGGCCAAGCAAACGTAGCTATTCTGATTTTTTCCTTCACACGTGGGCTGCGTCACGCAGTAAATCCAATCGTTGTTTTGTTTGTATTGCGCAATTCCAATTGGTTGAAGTTGAATTGACGTGAGTGCCACTTTGGGCTTGCTTCTATATATATATATATATATTTAGAGGGAGGATATAATTAAAAGTGTTTTTTAAAAAAAAAAACTAAACATATACAAAGTCAAATTGCATATAACAGAATTTTTATAACAATTATATAGATGAGATTATACTTACTATCATTTTAGACTATCACTTTTATTACCTCTTTAGTTATTGTTTGATTAATTTGAAATCAAAGATGATTAATTTGTCCTCTTTTTCAATAATTAATTTTAAATTGATCCAACGGTAACTAAATAAGTGATATGCCTAAAATAATAGTAAGTATAAGATTTTTCTAATTATATATCTTAATACACTAATTATATAAACACATCTTTGTCTTGCTTGACGATTTCAGCAATTAAGTGGGGAATGCTTGCCATCAATATTGACAAATTTAAGGGGTCGAACAATACCTGCAGCTGTGTGAAAGATGACTAGTCACTGGAGTTAAAAATTGAAGTTTATCGGTAATTTCAACATTTAATATATTAAATTAGGTCATAAATTTGCAATTAGGTCGGAGTCTTTTAACTTACACTTAGAACTTCGAGAGAATTTTTGTTTGGTAGTTTATATTAGTTTCCCGTTGAAAAAACCTACTCTCCGGTTGTCTCTACATTCCCCCATATTTCTTTCATCCTTGGAATGACTTTGATTTTTCCATTCAAAAAAAGTTTAGTCTGCACAGAACTGGATTCAACCCATTTAATCAAAAAGGTATTTCAAATTTGATTCTTTATTTATCAAAAATCATACACCTAGTTAACATACCTACCCTTTTGTTTTTAAAGAAGAAAAAAAGAGAGAGGAAAGTTTCTTAATTAGTTTATGAAATGTTAACCCCTTTTCATGTACAGACCATGAAGCTTCTAAAGTTTTCCATATATATTTAAGTAAAATCACTTCTCACGTTGCTATAAGGAAAATGATTTGTAACAACTAATTATAATTATGTCTTTGGTAAGATATTGTTATAATTTTAAAAGTTTTTTTTTTTTCTTTCCTCAGAAGATTATCGGCTGATATGGCGGAGAATTTTTTTTTACCGATAAGACATAATTATAATTGATAATATTTAAGGAAAAATTATGCACCAATGAGAACTTGGAAACCATATATTTATGAAGGGAAAAACTACTCTTATGCAACATAAGAGTAGTTTTATCTCCGATAGACCCATTGAACATTGAGACACTTTTTTTTTTAAATGGTGGATCCCACCACATGTGTATCTACCTAACAAGCACGAACACGTTCCTTTTTGGAAAATTTGTGTGTCGGACACGTGCCCGACACGGACACGCTCGGACACGCGTCCGACACGTGGTCAACATTTGGGGACACGTGGTCAACATTTGGGGACACGCGATCAACCCTTCGACACGTTCCGATATGTTTTTTCGACACGCAGTCAACTTTTTTCGACACGCGGTCAACGCTCAGACACGCTCGGGCACGTTTTTTTTTTTAAATCTTAATTTTATTAAATATAAAAGAAATAATTTATAAATTATTTTTTTTTTGTTATGAAATTTGACTTGAAAAATTAACAAAGTACGAAAAATTATTTATATTTATATTTATGTTATGAAATTTAAATATTTGATTGGTTATATGACTTATTATGGACTCTTATATGTATTAAATATAAATTATATTATATATATTAAAAATTTTATTTAATATCAAAACGTGTCTCATCGTGTCGAAATATGACATTTTTTAGAATTAACGTGTCGGCGTGTCGTGTAGTATCCCGTGTCCGTGTCTGTACATCATAGGTGTCTACAACATAAAAGAACTTCTATCATGCAACATGAAATTAGATCAACCATTTCTGAAACGAACCTTATCTTTGTGATTGTCGCATCTATATAATTATGGCGTCATAACTTTTATACCCTTAGTTAATTTACTTTTTTGCCTTTATACATTAAGTCAAATGAACACTAACTTCACATAGAAAACCCACACAACTCATTGACTGTCACAAGAGATTGCTTGTTTTAATATGTTTAACATAAGAAATGTGTGTTTTGGATTTTCATATAGAA